ACCCAAATGTCTCTCAGCCTGACAGCCAGGCTGAGAGTGGCTGACCATAACATTGGAGAAGCCACCCAAGACTTTTATACCAGGGGATCATGTGAACAAGTCTCTTTCAAAAAGAAGCCCCCTCTGGTGAGGCTGAGGACAGACAGCAGAGTCTTGCAAGCCAGGGACAGTGAGGGACAGTGTTAGGGAAGAGACAGCGGAGATGAGGAGGAGAGAGTGAGTGCAGAGCCATTGAAGGGCTGCAGTCAGAGAGTTTGGAAACCACGTGGAAGTGCGTGAAAAGGGAAAAAGACTCACCCAAGAGTACTTCTGTTCCAGCTGACGGTGAGCTTGGTGGGACCTGCTCTAGCAGGAAGAAGTTGGCACCGTGAACTGGCATGGTGAGAAGGTTCGTTTTGGTTGGCAACAGGCTTAGTTTTAGAAGGAAAAAAAAGTTCTTTTTCATTAGTAGTAGAAAGTTGGAACAATGGTGGTTCCTTGAAATGATCCAAGAAAAACATACTTTGGGTATTTATCTTATTAATGTGATTTAACTTTAATTTGTTTTAAAATTTTAATTTACTTTAATACCCAAAGGAACCAAGGTCAGTCAAGAAATCCAAGAGTGGAGTCTGTCATAGGGCCAAGCCTCAGAGACTAGACCTGGAGCAGCAAAGTCACCACCAACTCGGGGCATCCTAGCAGCAATGAGTGGGTCTTTAATTTAGAGATTACTGGGATCCATGCCATTCTTTTCTCTCTATCGACTCTTTTATTATTTCCTTCTACTCTCTTTAATTCTTCTCCTGGTTTCATTCTACTTTTCTTATCTTTTTCAGAGTCTCTGCTTTCTCATAACCCTGGATTACCATGAGTATTATGGACTTTCTGGTTAATTATGCTTCATGGGTAATCCCTGCCCCCCAATGGCCTGTTTTTTCTTTACTTAGCAGTTCAATCCCTGAGGGAAAAAAATCCAATTGGGAGGCGAAGTTTTGCCCCGGGCTACAGGGTAGGTTGCTAGCCAGGCTGCAGATTGGCTGCCTATAGGTCTAAAAGTCACTCCTGGTCCAATCAGCTACAGCCAGGGGGTGGGATCATGTGATACAAAGGTGGGATCATGTGACACAAAGGAGGCCACCTAGCCTTTAGCTGGAGCAAAGCACAGCTTACCTAAGAGCAGTCAGTGGTCCTCAAAAAAGTGTGATCCTTGGAGCAACGACATCCTGGGAACTTGTTAGAAATGCCAGTTCTTGGGCCCTACCCCAGACTTCTTGAATCAGAAACACAGGAGGAAGAGCCCAGCCCCCTGCATTCTAACCACCCTCCTGGTGATTCTGGTACCTGTTCGAATTTGAGAACCATTGCCTTAGACCAAGCAAACAGTACATTGACTAAAAACAAATGTTTGAATGAAATCATGAGAGAAAGTCAGGCATTCCAGGTTCAGTAGGTTTTAAACAAAGTGGAAATGTGGATGTTAGTTGATCCTAAGGATGAGGAGAGGATGGCATTTGTTATAAATCACTATTTTATGGATGCAGAATTTCAGTGTTTTCTGTCATTGGATGATCTGATTTCTCTGGGTTGTATTGGCTGTCCCAAAAGATGAGCTGTGATAAGTATTGTCACCGCTACCTGTTCACTCTCCCCTACCCCCATCTCCCACCCCACTCCTTCCCTGACCCTGTGAATGCACATTCCTTAGAGAGACCAGCCTGATGCTGAGTTCCTTCCACAAATTTTGACAAATCTTGCTTAATAAATGATTATATTTCTGGTTAGGGTTTTGTTTGCTTCCCAAAAATTGGTTAACAATTTACTTTGAGTCTTGTGACATTCAGGTCATTTACGCCTTTCCTGTCTTTTGCCTGCCAGGGTAAGAAGTTCAGTTTGTTAGTTTTTTGGTTTTTTTTATTAGTGGATTTAATTTATATGAATGTGGATTACAACAACAAAAAGCAATAGAGAAGGTAGGAAAGAGAGTAAAAGGAGAAACCTTCATTGTCTTTCCAGGGTATATGAGCATGTTAAAGCCCAATAGAGAACTAGGATTAGGATAAGGTTAACTGAGGCCACCTAAATTTAAAAGAGGCCACCAAAATACTCAGTAATCAAGAAAAATGTTTTAATGCAATATATTCAAAAATCAAAATCAATGCAAAAAATATTCATGATAAACAAAGTTTCAAAATTTGAACTAGAGACAGGATTTGATTCCCTCTGTAGCCTGTTCACCTTGGTGGACAGCAAGCAACCACCAAGCCCTGCAAGGTGGAAGAAGACACTGGAGCCACAGGGTGAGTGTTGTTGAATGGATACATTGTCCACTTGGTTTGAAGCAAGATAAGCATTCACTATTTCCTACTCCTGAAAAGTTGAAAAACTATGCCAAGCCCTCTAAGAAGCACTAGAATTAGAAAAAAGGTGCTATATTTCTAACATAAACAATTGACGTCTCTATTATTTATTTGCTTTCTTCATAAGGAGTAATTTGGAGCTTCCAGTACAGTCGCATAACCCACATAGCTGGGAACACTTCTCCCCACCATCCACCTGGTTTTGATCGATAAGGATGGCTGATCAGTCCAATCCAACCCTTCATCTGATGCAGAACTTGTCTGGTCTAGTGGGATGACCATCCCATGATTTCTTCCCTATCCCCAGGCTCATTTTTGTCTTCTCTGTTTGTCCTTGTCACTCACAGGTCTCATATTCAGAATTGTATGATGGGAAGAGCAGTAGAGGAGGCAACCCTATGTTCTTATCCCAGCTCAGCCACTAAGCAGATGTGTGACCCTGGGTCAATCGTGTCTCCCCCAGGCTTCAGAGTCCTTGTCTGTGGCATGAAACTAAATCATCCCACATTCCTCTCTGCTTCTCAAACTCTGTGCTTCCAGCTCAAGTTCAAGAAAAACACGACAGTAAAAATCCAGCACTGCTGACCCTTCCACATGACCAGGATGCCCTTCATGAATGTCTGTCGAAGTCTCTATCTATCTCATCTTTTCATCAAACTGACATATCATTTATTTATTACACAAATATTTATTGAATGCTTCCCATGCAGGAGCCACTTCTCTCAGCCTTCAATAGGACAAAGTTCCTACCCTCACGGTGTGACCAAGCATGAGCCACATAATGATGTTTCAGTCAACAACAGGACCACATATTCAATAGTGGTCCTATAAGATTATGATGGCACTTATACAGAAACCTGATATATGCCACTTGATATTGGCATCACAAATGAAGTACAGGAAATGATGGATATTCAGTAATATTGCTGGAATATTTGATTTTCCATGGGAAAAAATATGTATATTAATAAAAATATATTGGCTGGTCATGGTGGCTTACACCTATGATCCCAAATCTTTGAGAGGCCAAGGTGAGAGGATCACTTGAGGCCAGGAGTTTGAGACCAGCCCAGATGACAAAGAAAAATCCCCATCTTCATAAAAAATAAGAACAATTAGCCAGGTGTGGTGGCACATGCCTGTAGCCCTAGTTACTTGGGAGGCTGAAGTGGGAGGATCACTTAAGCCCAAGAGTCCACGGTTATAGTGAGCTATGATCACACCACTGCACAGAGTTAAGACTCTGCCCTCCCTCCTCTCCCAGAAAATATACATATGTCATCTAGGTTTGGGTAAGTACACTCTATGATGCTCTCACAGTGATGAAATTGCCTAATGACACATTTCTCAGAAAGTATCCCCATCACTAAGTGATGCATGACTGTATTTATACACCCAGGGAATAAAAAACACATTACTTTATTATCCATAAAAATGGGAGCTTAACTTGAAGCACCATAGACATGAATCCGATAAAAACATGCAGCGACTTTACCTTCTAACTAGGTAACTCTTGACTGAGACATGGGCTATCTCGGCTAAAGTGTGTTAAAGATTGGCAGCAAGCAGAATTTCTCCTTCGTGAAATCAGGAGGCTTGAAGAAAATGGGAAATAGACCGACTTTCTCACTGTTTTGTAAGTAATACCATGTTCAGGCACCATCTAAAATCATGGTGACTGGTGCACGCTCCGCACTTTGGAAAACAATGTCTCACTCCCATGAAACAGTAAGCAAGAAGTGCTGCTTCTCCTCTTCACGTCCATCGCCTCTCAAAGAATCTATTTCTTAGGCTTTTAAAGTACCCCCACCTCCTTCTAGGGGCCACTGAGGTGCCTCATGGGCCACAGCATTGTGTGATGGGAGAGATGGCCTGTTATTTCTGCAGCACCAGCCAGCGGATTGGCCTGTCATCTCAGAAGCATCGGGATTGGAGTTCTTTTTTATTCTCTTTTATGGATACACAATAATTTACATATTTATGGGCTACATGTGATTGTTACATGCATAAAATGTGAAATGGTCGAGTCAGGGTATTTGGGGTATCCATCACTTTGAATGTTTATCATTTTTGTCTGTAGGCATCATTTCAAGGCCCTCCTTCTAGTTACTTTGAAATATACATAATAATGTTCTAAATGTAGTCTCCTAGTCTGCTGTCAAACATCAGAACTATTTCTTCTGTCTTGCTGTGTTTACATGTTCTTTAGACCATGGTCTTAGGATGGTGAATGAGCTTTTATCCTCAAGTTGTATATGTGTGCAGGGGTTGGGGGAGTGAAACTGGGGACAAGGGTACAGCAGAGGAAGACTAGGAGTTTTCTGAACTTCCTTAATTCACAGTGCTCTTTTCGTAAAACACTTGAATGTTCTGGTAGTTGGTTGTGCCGTTATTTTGTTATTTTAGATAAATTTATTTTGGAGCCCGTTAAGACTTTGGAGATCATCTTCTCCCCCTACAACCCTGCACTGCCCATTCCAGTCTCCTTTGGTAAAGGAGGAAACAGAGGTTGAGAGAGGACAGACGTCCTGCCCATGGTGACTCTGTCCGTAAGCAGCAAATTGGAACTGGCATCCAGATGCAGGCAATAGAAATCCATCACAAGGCCCCATCCTGTGACTCAGTTGAGTTGTTCACACACTTTCTTCCTCCCCTTTCCAGGCAGTGCTGAGCCCTCTCATAGCCATCGCGCTGAAAATATCCCAGATTCACGAGAGAACTGGCCGGAGGGGACCTACGGTCATCACCTGAATGGAGGAAAGATCACTCACCAGGGCCAAAGAGCGCTCAGCGGGACATGCTTCACCGATGCCTTCTTGCTACCTGTTTGTGCCTTTTATGACTTTGAAAAAAAAAAAAAAGATATTTTGCTTTTGGGGGGCAGGGGGTGGGTAGGAAAAAAAAATCTGTTTTGTTTTGGTTTTGTCCAGTTCCTCCAAATGCAACAGGGTCTTTAATGGCCTGTTAAAGCTGCACTATCATTTGATAACTGTATTTTATCACACAAAGGACCTCCCCTTTTGAGAAAGAATAAGTGGGCTAGGAAACTGTTAATCACAGCATCTGAGCATCATTGGTGTCACATGGGAAAAGCTTCTAGATAATGGAAGAGAGGGTAGTGCCAGAATTAAACTGACCCTGAGCCACAGGTACCCCTGGGTGGGCAGAAGAAGACACTCTTCAGCATGGAGGAGGATGTAGCTCTCCTCCCAGGTCAGGTGTCCAGTGAGGGATGGTTTTAGAACTCCTGATAGCCCACCTCACCCCTACCAACCACCTGACTGCCCCGCCTCCCCCATCTCCTTCCCAACATCCCTGTGTCACCTTCTCTCACATCTTCTAAAGCTTTCTACACATCACAATGGCACGCTTCCAACAAAACATATCAAAGGATGATTATTTTTCTTATTTTATAAATACTATTATTTTAGCTATTAAGCCAGCTTCTTTCAAATCCAGCCATTCATTGTGCAGGCCGGAAGAAGTTTCTTGACAAGACTCTGCAAATGAGTGATTTAAATTGGGGGTGGGGGGGAGGCTTCCTTGATTATATCATGTAGGTTGAGACATGGGTTATACAAATACCTCCTGAAAAGACAAAAATACCACCATGTCTGAGATCTCTCTGATTTTTCCATTAAGGACCTATTTGAATGCACTTGTTTGGACCTAGTTCTGATCTCACTTGCAATGGCTGTCAGAGGAGAGAATGAGATGCTGTAACAGTGGGCAGCGAAGTGGATGGGGAAGAAAACATTGCTGGTGGTATATGCCAGATGAGACAGAGGGGAGGGTGAGGACCCCTACTGGAAAGCAGAGGGTCACAGCTGGCTTTCTTCGCTTGGGAAAAGGATACTGCAGCTGCAGCAGCCTCTCCTGTACTCAGCCAGGACACTTGGTGCGTGGGACCTGTTTGCATCTGTTTTGCTTCCTTGGGAACGGCACACTCACTTATCCTGCCATTTGTGGACATGACCTGGTGCACTTTGACTGTTAAGCAATGCATTATTGCTGTAGTCAAGGTTAGCGCAAGCAAGGAAACATTCCCAGTAAGGTATTTGTTTCCATTTTCTGTCTATGCTTCTGTCACAAACTTGCTAGGACATTTAGTAGCCAATAAAAAAAAAAAAAATTCCTTATTTCAACCTTATCCAAGGATTGTGGGTTTTTTGCTTATTCACTTATCTCACCATCTGAGAAACCTCAGTAGTGGTCACCTTATCCTGATAAATCTGCTTTGCAGAGTGCTCATGAGCGCTATGTTTCACTATTATGAGCTAGTAAATTTATTAAATAAATGGAACAGAAAAGGGGAATTACTGAGAACTGCCCTTGGGAGTCAGCAGAAACTAAAATGGTATCTTATCTTTCATTGTAACTATCTTCATTTCAGAAAAATAGAAAGGTGGCTTTGAGCTGAGATTCTAAAGAACCACTTATGAAATTTATCAGCAGTGGAATAAAATTTGCCCTATAGCTTTGGTACTCATCATCTCTTAAGTGAGGGGCCAACCAACCATTCATTAATTGTGGATGTGTAGGTCAGGATAATCAGACGGCATTCTTAGGCATGTCAGTTCTAGGTAAGAAAATATTTATTTTTTTCTGAAGTTTCTGAACTTTTAATCATCTCAAACTTTTACGTTCAAATGTAAATTAGTCCTCACTTAAAAAAATCTGTTTATTTTGATATGGAGTCATGGGTAATCAGTAGCCCAAATATTTACCCATTTATTCATCAGTTCATTCATTCATTTAGCCAGCATTGGTTGAGCAACTAATCTAGGCAGAGTTCTGTATTAGATGTGACAGGGAAATGGATAAAATGATATTGCTGCTCTCATGAGTTTATAATTTGGGAACAGGAGATTATGACAAACATACACAAATATTCAGGTTGACACAAGTGGTATAGTAGAAGCACAAACAATGGAATGGAGCAAGTAAATCAGATGGTGGGACACTAGACGCAAAAAGGGGTCTTCCCAAGAGTAGAGTTTGTAGGATTTGTAACCATTTATGTAGTTTCACCAGGGGTGAATAAAACGTGAAGAAAGACTAGGAGTTGAGAGCTAGCACGGCGGGAGAGGAGGCTGGTTTAGGGTCTCAAGTGGACGGGTGGGGTTGAAGCAGACACAGGGGTTATGAATATCTGGCAGAGCAAAGGCTTGGGCCCCGCCATGGAAAGAAGCAGCTGCACAGCTACCCATGGTCACAGAGCTGCTTCTCAGCTACGTTGCCAAGGGAAAGGTCCTCCCGTAGCTCTAGTGCACAGCCTCACTCTGCAACCTGCTCTCATTCTCATTGTCAAGGTATTATTTCTGCCGTACATGAAGTCCAAGCTTCTCTTGCTGAACTATACATGCATGTTCTCTCACCTGATTCTCAGGAGAGGTGAAAGGCAAGACATCACTCTTTCCCATGTGATGTTCTTTATGTTCTTAAGGATGGAGCTCCAGCCACTGGTTTTGAACAGTAAATGACTTGACAGGTCCAAGAATGTTGTGGGCACCACAGCAGTCCACCGTAGAGGAAACTATGGCTAGAGTGCGGTAGCTGGCAGGGCCACTCTGGGATCTGCTGTTACCGATGGGTCCACTTACTGCACCATGAGCCTGCAGAAAAATGGCCAGCAGCACTATGCGTAATGTCGTGGCTCTTGACCAGGACAGTACTGCCGCCTACCCAGGGGGTGTTTGAAAATATGTGTGCATATGGGCCACGGAGGAGCACTTAGTGGGAGGGGACCACAGATGATACGCATCCTGCCAGGCGTCAGCCGGACTCCCAGAATGAAAAGTTGTTGCTGCTCAGCCAGGATTCTTGAATTTATTAAATGTTCTTGAAAATGGGTAGGCAGCCATTATTAAAATGAGATCATTTATCAGATCTTACCAATCCAAGTGCAGCACATGCCTACAGTGTTTGTGGACAAAGTGTTGCATGACATTGTAGGCCGAAGGGCTTGACATGACAGCAAGGCGTTCTGAACAGGGAGCCTCACACGGATGCGCAGCCCCGTGGTGATGCATAGGGCTGAGCTGGCTGCTCTAAGCATGACGGGGACTTTTGATTGGCCACCTGTGGGTCAGTGTAAGGCATGGAATTTACTTTGATGGCCAGATCAGTCAGTAGTGGCAGGTGTGGGGAATTTAAAAAGCACCTGCAGGAACTGGTCGTGCCCTAACAGGGTGACTCCATTCCGTTGCTGGATCACGCACTGGATGTCCTCAAAACATGTGGACACTGACATCTCAGACACTTGCCTTGAGATGATTTCCATTCCTGAGAAACCGTGTGGCTTTGGAAATGACGTAACCACCCGTAAATCAGTCTTTGGCCCTGCAACGGTTACAAACAGCAAGAGATTATCTGAGGCAGCAGAGCTTAGCAGAATGCCCGTTCCACTCCAACCTGCTGGAGTTATCAGTAGAAATAGCTCATGCAGTTGACAGCACACTTGGAATGTGAGTCAGCCTAGGTTGTCGTGGAACTTTATGGAATACAGTGAAGACATGAATTATAAATCCTTGTCATTATCATCTTTCCATGTCTGTTGGCACCTAGTATGTACCCAGCAATGTAGGTGACCTGGAGCAATGCCTCACCAAAGACAATGTATTTAAGGAGGATCTTGAAGGATGGATAGGAGTGTCTGTAAAAGCATTGGTGAGTTTTTTTTTTAATGGAGCAGTTGAAAATGAACACAGTACATCTCACATATGCAGAAGATGCAGCATTATTTATTCTATAATTGACCTTGCCATCCTCATCTTCTGGGATGGTGGTAGTGCTTATTTAAATTTGCTGCTCTGGCTGGGCGCGGTGGCTCACGCCTGTAATCCTAGCACTCTGGGAGGCCGAGGCGGGCGGATTGCTCAAGGTCAGGAGTTTGAAACCACCCTGAGCAAGAGCGAGACCCCGTCTCTACTATAAATACAAAGAAATTAATTGGCCAACTAATATATATAGAAAAAATCAGCCGGGCATGGTGGCGCATGCCTGTAGTCCCAGCTACTCAGGAGGCTGAAGCAATAGGATCGCTTGAGCCCAGGAGTTTGAGGTTGCTGTGAGCTAGGCTGACACCACGGCACTTACTCTAACCTGGGCAATAAAGCGAGACTCTGTCTCAAAAAAAAAAAAAAAAAAAGGGACAAATTTGCTTCTCAAAGGACATTATGATATGATGATACTGGAGGGCCATCAACTCAACTCTGAGAATTCCCATCCCCATTGACATGTGAACTTATTATTCACATGTGAGAGTAGGAAATGAGCAAAGGCTGTCTGTAGTGGGTATTTTCCTCTTTCCACTTTCTCATATTCTAAGTGCCTCACCACCATTTATGGAATTATGGTTCCCAAGCCATCACCAGTACTTCTATCATAAAGAGAAAGAAGAGGATATGCGATATCTATTTCCCCTGAGTGACTCTGCCAGCCATGACTCATGTATTATTATTATTATCAATCCCAAAAGGACACTCTGACTTGCGCAGTGAATTTCACTGCAGAACATCTCAAACAGAGGGTTTGTTTTGGGTTACACCTATGTTCTTGATGCTTGATTCAGAGTACATATGTTAAAAAAAATCTTTAAGTGCCTATTAATATCTTTTTTTCAAAAAGACACACCCAGATTATCATCTGAATCAATATTTGGTGTTCAATAATATTTGGGTTTGCACAAAGATGAGCTTATCTTGACACTCTGTTGGTTTCACATGATGAAGAATACTTTGACTTAAGGTTTTCTATTGATTTTTTTTCTGACACAAAAAAATGGCAAAAGAGAAAGTTTAAGTACAAAATTTATTGCAGTAAAGAGATTAAAACCCTTTCTTATGTAAACCAAAATTAACATTTGTCTGACCTCACTACCATAAATAGTAGTTGGAAAAACTCTGGAAGAAACACTGATGATATTGCTTGTTCAGATCAGTGAATATGCTCAGATCACCAGGGAAAATTTCAAGGTAACTGTCTTAGGAGAGGGATGGAAAGAGATGACAAGAAAGGGATGATATATTGTATTAGTAATTAAATGATCACTTCCTACCTGGACAACTGTGAGTGACCTTCATATCCACTCACACCCTTCATGTCAAGGATTCAGATCACAGATTCCCAAATTCATGCTTTGTGGATCAGGATTTCCTTTCACATGGCTTCCTGTGTATTTGTCAGAATATGCTTAATCTGCACACTCAGCAGTGATGGGGAAGAGGAGGCCAATGAGGAGGCCCCACCCCGTCTTGTTCACCCCCTTCCTCCTTGAAAGAGCCACATCTGTCCCTAAAACTGTGCAAAGCCCTTCCTGTGCTCATTCATCAAGGGCCTGTCATCGTTAGGAATCATACTTACCATCTGTATAATGATCAATTGAAGAGAAATTACGCCATGAAGTGAGGGCCCAGCTCCTAGCAGAAAACATGGAGGGCTTATTTACACTTTAAATAACTAACCCTAAAGCAAACACCTCTGCTGCTCCAAGGGTTTTAAGATATTACAGCAACCTTTAGGCTCCACTTTCTTTTAAAGCTCATTTTCTGAAAAGAAAGAGAAATCAGCATTGCTCCCTGGAAGGAAGGAAGTGAGACAGGGCTCGCTTAGCACAGAAGTATGAAGTAAATAGGTCCTCCCAGGTCTCTCTAGGGATCCTTCTTCACCCTTCTGGGAGGTACTGCATGTTATTTTATTGGACAAGTTTTTTAACTTCTCAAAGTCTCAGTTTTATGCATCTGTAAAATGGGAATAATCATAGCACCTCTGTTCTTAAAGACTGAATGTGCATGAGGACTAAATAATACGCATGAAAAGTTCATAGCATGGAGCCTGCCATATATTAATGAAAGGCATTTCATAGCTGTTAGATATTAACTCCAGCATAAATGCCTCACTTGACAGGAGGAAACTGAGGCCCAGAGAGAGGAGGATTCTTGTCCAATTCTGTGCAGAAGCATCAGGCTGCATCTCTTTCCACCACCCTGCCACCTGACTTGTCTTCTTGTATTAAAAATATTAATATAACAAAATACAATAAAGCTAAGGAGGAATCACTGGGTTTTTAAACAAATGTCCTAAGTCTAAAAGTCAAAATCTGTATCTTGAGACATAAAGAATTTCCCGTTACTGATGAAAGTACATCATTATAGTCTCTTGTCTTTCAAATTATAGAGATTTACAGGGACAGCCTTTGAATTACATATAAATATTTTTTAAACATTACAAGATTTATATCAAATTGCATACGAATACCATCTATGGCTAGTACAAATTCTTTTCTCCTCTGAATTCTTTGTATTATGAATTATGTGTTCTGTCTATTCAATGGGCATCTGTAAGACATGTTATCATATCTGTTCCTATGAGGACCTCTCTTAAAAGTAGCTCATTTAACATTTTGTGTTTGAGCCATTTTGAGAGTGAATATTATAATGATCACTTTGCTTTCACATAGAATAAATACACATAATTAAAATAAAATAATACAAAATAACATTCATGAGTTCCAAGGGCATATCTTCCACGATGTGAAGGACTGTGTCACTCTGGTAGTGTCGTCATTAGGGGCAGCTATAAAACCAGCTAAAGGAATGCTGAGCAGCCTACATGTTAAACAACACACTGTCTCTTTGCTTATTAGGAAGGTAGTACACGAAGGCACGTGGCTGCCCTGGCAAGCAGCTCTGTCCCTCCCTGTCTGGGCTGTGGGAAGGGAGTTGAGTGAGAGCAGAAAGGCTGTCTGTGAGCTGAGCTCTAACAGCAGTCCTGAGGCTTGCCTGGGTGGGGATTAGCCAGAGTCCCCTGAAATGTCTGCTGAAATGTCCCCTGAAATGTGGCCACGCGCTTCCAGGGCCCCCACCCTGCCTGTGCATGGCCGAGCAAGTCTGTGGAATTGGGCGGCTGTCACACGCAGCAGCCCCTCCACGAGCTCATCTGCAGGACCCCCCGTGTGGCTTTTCCTCCCGCAGTCCCTTGCCTGCCTTTGCAATTAGCCCACTGGGTGCGCCACGCGTGCCGGAGAGCTCTCCTGCCTTTGGCACTCTGGGCTCTGCCTCTCAGCACCCTCTGATGTCACTGCAACTGCCAGGGCGGCCGTGGACTCCGCGTAGGGCGGCGGGGCCTCTGGCTGGGCTTCGTTTTCATCCTGGAGTTCCAGGCCCGTCTCTGTGTACGGAGGTGGAGGAGCCTCAGAGGCCCCTCCCTCTGCAGGGCGGGTCTGTTTCTCCGCACCCAGGCTCTCTTCATACGCTGGAGGGTAGAAGTCTGGCCTGGGGGACGAAACATCACACACACAGGCATTATTTGGGCGTCAGTGCCAAAGAGGCATGTGGCTGCCTCTCTCAACTCACATTGTGAGAAGCTAAACTGTTAAGAAACATTGATTTTTGAAACAGATGTATTTCTCGCCTGGCATCATCAGTTGTTTTTTTTTTTTTTAAGTGTGCTGATCTTCCAGAAGAACTTCTTTATCAACCATACCATGTGTGCCTCTAGTTATATTTTTTCCAGCAGGTTATTCCAAGCTGTTCCTTCTCCCTTGCTCATGGAAATAGGGCCATTCGGTGTGAGATTCCTAGCAGAGGCAGCGGACTTCTCCCTACCCAGTGCTTAGTCCACTAACATACTCGTGCCCAGCCCCACACAAGTGTCTTCCACTCTATTGCACTCACTAGCTCAGATCTTCACAGCCAATAAAACAAAGAAGGAAAACCAACTATGTGCAGATCCCTGAACTATACCAGATGCTTCTCTTTTTCCTAACACTCCTTCAAGTCTCAGCAGCTAGTTTTAAAGAAAACATATGAATGCACTCACTTCTCAAACTATTTCAATGGACAACTTTATGCAGATTTCAGCTGCAGCTCTTTCTGTGCCAATAAGCCAACGGTAAAGGGGCTGTCCAGGCCAGGGCTGATGCGCTCATTGGTAATCTTGCCCAACGTTGCTAATTGCTAAACCCTTCTGGCTCCTCCATTATGAATGGGATGGGGGCTGGGGTGGAGAGGAGAAAGAGAGATGGCTGAGCTTGGTTGGATTGTATATTTATAGAGCAAGTCCTTCAGCATGTTTATGGCGTGTAACCACAACAGAACAGGGACTGCCATTTGTAGCCACAGCTCCACTCCAAATGTTGCCAGGCCCAAAGCCAGATAGCTGCAGGAGCTATCTACTGTACGGCATAAATCTCAGCCTTCACCCAGGACAGCCAAGGCTGAGTCACAGGGCACATGTGTAAAGGCATTTTGCACAGATAGGTGAGCTGTTCCCCGGAGTGATTTGAGAGGCTCTGTGATGGCCACCGCCTGTCCCCAAATCCCAACACCTCTTCCAATCCCTCCCTCCTCCCACTGCCATGTACATTCCCAAAGCCCTGAATTCCACCACTCTAGACTCATTCACTTTCATAACCTGAACCTGGGGACCTGTTCTGAATGCAAGGGCTCCTGAGAAATAGAACTTCCCAGTCTGACTTACTAGCCATTCCGAGTGGGCTGAACCATTAATTAGATGCAGCAGAAAGAGGCAGGCAAATTGGGATGTTATGATGTCCCTAATTTACTTTCAAATATTTCAGCACAGACAATATAATATTATGCATGGGTTAGTAAATTTAAGCTACCTCCTAAAGGCAATCAGTTACATTTATCAGGAATTCATACTCTAGAGCTAGTCATCTAATGACTGTGCAAAACCCCAAAATCACCACTCTAGAAACATCTTCTACAATCACTTCATTTATCTTAATTTCTCATCAAACCCAGAAACCTTGCTGGTCAGTATAATAAGCATTGGAAATGAGTTTTGGTTGTTGTAATTAGTATCTTATTGATTAGCATAAAAGAAATCAAAAATGAACCATCATGGTTAAGATTGTTTGTATTCAAGATACATGGAGTAGCTAAAATATTTTATATACTCCCTTACCCTTGCATGAAGAGGGCAAAAGAATTTATCGAGTCCTGCAGCCTGTGTCTTAAAAATGTTACCTGAGGTTTTATCAGTAAATGTTCCTGTGTTTTGCCAAGAATTGATGGTGGTGGTGGTGGTGGGGTCCCGGTTGCCTGATACAGACCCTAAGCTTAAGTGAATCTTCTTTTTTCTTGTGGTAAAATATATATAACATAAAATTTACTATTTTTAAATATACAGTTCAGTGGCATTAAGTACGCTCATATTGTTGTGCAACCATTGTCAGAACTTTTCCATCATCCCAAACCAAAACTCTCTACTCATTACACAATAACTCCCCAATCTCTCCTCCCCTAACCCCGGTAACCATTGTTCTACTTGCTGTGTCCATGAATTTAAATACTCTAGGTACTCATATAAGTGGAATTATACAATATTTTCCCTTTGTGACTAGTTTATTTCACTTAGCATAATGTTTTCAAGGTTCATCCAAGTTGTAGCATGTGTCAGGTTTTTCTTCCTTTTTAAGGCTGACTGATATTCCATTGCATGTACACATCACATTTTGTTTATCCGTTCATCCATTGATGGACGTTTGGGCTGTTTCTAACTTTTGGCTATTATCAGAAATATTGCTATGGACATCGGTGAATGAGCATCTGTTCGAGTCCCTGAATTCAATTCTTTTGTGTGTATACTCAGAATTAGATATAGAATATAGAATTACTGGATCAAATGGTAATCCTATATTTACTATTTAGATGAACCTCCATTCTGTTTTCCACAGAAGTTGCACCATGCTACATTCCCACCAGCAAGGCACAAGGGTTCCAATTTCTTGACATCCTCACCAAAGCTTGCTGTCTTGTTTTGTTTTTTGATAATAGCTATTCTAATATGTGCAGTGGTAAGGTTAACTAAATCTTAGCTTTAGAACATTGTCACCTTGTTTTGAATGAATCTTTTTCATAAGGTGAAATCACAACACCTAAAAAGACAGTAAGCTAGGAGTTCCCTGAGCTCACAAAGTTTGCAAGTCTGATTTTATGCCTCCTGGCTCACTGGTTGTGTGGCAGAATTTGGTCTGGGACTTGTTTTCCTTATAACCTGGTAGCCAGGTTATGGGGAGTAACTAACCATTACCTGCCTCTAACTAATGACAATTCCCATGATATAACAGAAGAACTTGAGTTCTTAAATTGGCTCAAGTGCGTTTTCACTGCTGGGGTAGAGTGGTGGCGTTGGTGATAGTGTTTCTCTAAGATAAATTCCCCCTACATCATGATTTGCCCAAAGATGGTGCCCAAAGATGGCACCATTCTTCCTAATGACTAACCCCAGAGTAATTCCTCAACAATAAAGCTTCATACAGCCCATGGGACATGTCATTTGCTCCACAGTAGGATTAGAAATTATTCCACTTTTACACCACTCAGCCCATCTCAGCCCTTCTCAGTCCCCCTGGCTGTCACACATACCTGTCCACCGTGGCCAGGGGCAGGGCCCCACAAGCAAGGTGTCGTCTGAGCGCAAGGCTGAACAACCTTTTGCTTTCACTCGCCTGGCAGTAGCTGCTCCAGAAAATTCCATTCAGAAGGATGACAAACCCCAGAGACAGAAGCACATAGGCCACGATGAGGCCGCCCCAACAGTTCGATAAGGAGGCAGAAGACAGGAATGCGGCCCCCAGGCAGACCATCAGGAAGCCCGTCAGGAGGGCGAGAAGACAGAGAATTAGGCCAGTTCTGTTCTGCATCCCTGCTCCTTAAGAACCCAGCCCCCTGACCCTGCCACTCTGCTCCAGGAGAATGAGCTCATTAGCTAGTGTGCAGCTTTATACGCTCTGGGACCAACTGGCCTTTGGACAATTAGATGAAGCAGGCACTTAGAAGCTATTCATTAACCATCTAAAGTAACTACAATATCCTTGGAGGATTAACCTAAAAACACAGCATTGTGTATTGCCGGAAGGAGGAGCTCTTTGGAGCTGGGTATGACACTTGGCTGTTCCCAGTTGTTTGAGCATATGTCCTTCGTCCTTTGATTAACCCCTCTGGTCTCTTAATCCCCACCGAGAATAATTCCCCACTAAACACTAGACGAATTGGCATTTCTTGAAGAACTGTCTTCTCTGTGGTTTGGCAAGGAATCCTTTACTGGTTCCTTCTTTCTTTCTTTGTACTAAAAAGGCATTTCTTCAAGGTTCTTAACATGTTTGTCTTGACTCCCTCAACGAATCTCTCCTTAGTGTCACACTACAATATTGGGAAAATCCCAAGACAAAAAAAGTTCAGAATGTGAACTCCCCAATTCCTGTTCTGTTGACAAGATGATGGGCTTCGGCAGGAGGGAAAGAAGAGTGCTGGAGAGAAGGATGGTCTAATAGGCAGAGCCCTGGGAGTTTGTGGGGATTTCTGGGCTCTGAAAATCCTATAATCTTTTCCCTCTCATAAAACACATATTAACTGAAAGTTGTTTTAGTAGATGCTGCTACAAAATGTTCCCTGTGCTTGCTTCCAAACCTTTGCTCTGTGTAGCATTGCTTCTGTTTTCTGTCTGGAATTTGCTTCCTTCATCTTGACTGTCTTTGGTTGGAGACACCTTATCCCAGATCTGGTTTATGCCCTGATCCCTCCCCTTTTTTTGTGTGATGGTTTGTCACGTTGCTGCCAAAAGTCTCCTTCCCAGAGGAGCTCTTAGTCATATTTGCCCAGAGGAGTGACCTTCAGTTCCTCTTTGCTACTCCTCTCCCCTACTACTTCATTACCAGCATTTTCCATTTACTTTTCCAACGGGAAGAGCAGTGCATTGCCCTAGTAGTTCCATGCATCCCCTTTAGCCTGGTGCCAACATCTCCTTAGCTCTACCTTTGTGCTGGGGCTGGGAGAGAGAGGAAGGCACTGTGGATCAAAAATGATGTGAGGCACTTCCCCATTGCACCCCCTCACCCCTACCTTTATTAGCTTCAATCCCAACCCTGAACTACTTCCATCTTCTAGTCTGGATACTATCCTTGTAATCTTAAAATAATTCTTTCTCCCTCCTTCTCCAGTTGGCCTGGAGGTTGGCAGATTCCTAAGATGCTCCCCAGTGACCCCCAGAGTCCATGTCCTTGTGTAAGTAATCTGCTACCCTTAAGTGTGGGCTGGACCTAGTGACTTGATTCTAACCAGTAGAACATGGTAAAGGTGATGGGAAGTCACTTCCATGATTAGGTTGCAAAAGATTGTGACTTCTGTGTTGCTATCAGACCCTCTCTGTTGCCCTCCTGGCTGGTGCCTTTTGAAGAAAGAGGCTGCCATACTGGGGGCCCATGTGTCAAGGAACTGGGGGCAGGTTCTGGTCAACAGACCGTGAAGAACTGAGGCCCATAAGGAACCGCATCCCACCAGTGACTGTGACCTTGGAATCAAATCCTTGCCTAGTTGAGCCTTGAGCAACACCTTGACTGAGAGACCCTGAAGTAGAGGATCCAATCAAGTCCTGCCCAGATTCCTGACCCACAGAAAGTGTGCCATAAGAAATGTGCTTTATCTTAAGCTAAGTGTTGTGGCAATTTGTTAGGCAGCAATCGATAACTAAAAATTTTTTTTTTTAGGACTTGGAAATCAGAGGCGACCATGCATGTTAAGTGTTTATCTCAGCACCTGGCACAGAGAGAGTGCCCTGTGAAAGCTAGTGGCAATCGTCCTCTCCAACCTTGTTACTGTCATTTCTGTAGCAATTTCAGGCAGTTGTGAAAGACCCAGGATTCCCAGCTGAGAGGTCAGGACTAGGAGCTGGGTCCCAAGAAGAGGTAGACAGTGGAGACTCAGAACCACCATTGAAAATCAGAGTAAGGAGGGACAGCACCTTCAGTGAGAACCGTCCATCCAGAGGGTTGGGCTTCTTTATTTTAGACCAAACTGGGGGAATAAATTAGACCGGGGATTATGACAGATCAGACCTCATTCCTGTGATCACATCGGCCTATGAGCAAATAAGTGTCTCTATGCTTTCCTGCCTCCATACCAAGGAAGGACTCTTAAAGGACTCTACAACCATTGCCTTATAGTTTGCAAGGCAGGTTCTTCCTCTCGAATACTCTTTGAGAAGACCCCTGTCATTCTGGAGCAGTGTTTTGCTGTCGGCATTGATAATGATGGTATTCTAGGGGGGGAGAAATTGGATAGGAAAGAGCAAAATACGGGAAATTGCAGAAGGATGGAAGAACTCAATTCTTGTACATAAAACGTATATAAAATAAACTACAAATTCCTGGAGTCAGGGTATTTGAGGGGCTTATTTGGGGTGAGATATGGCAGCAAGGGTAAAGGTACAGGAGAATCTGTAGTGTATGAGAGAAGTAGATGGAAAAGGGAAAAAAAGGAAATATGAAAGTATCACTGGGAGCCATATGTCTCCTCCATAACTGTTAAGAAATACTAGTGAAGTTGAGGCTGTTTTTGCAAGTTCGTGTTTATTGTTATTAAATCTATATTATTAAATAATTGTAATTTTTAAAACTGTGACTCTGCTTCAGTTCTAAACCACATGAATCACTGCTCTATAAGTATTATTCTCTTTTGATGCCTCAAAAATGACGAAGGATCACTAAAATCAATGACTTGTAGTTTTAACAAATTCTTCTTGTTATTTCCCTATTATTTGTGTTATCGTGTGTCCTCTTTTCCCATAATTGCTAGCACTAAAATCATTTTTGAAAAAAAATGAAAGTGGATGTGTGCTTGTTTCCATGATAGTGAAATATCACAAATGTTGAGAGAAAGCACCTTGTTCTTCAGCTATCTTGAAGGGGTAGAAGAAACCCAAGCAGAAGAGCAGTTGTAATGACAGAAGAGAAAAGCAGGCTGCATTTTCAGGGCTAGAGACAAACAAAAAGAATCCAATAATGAAGCAAACACCAAGAAGTTGCCTTAAAGAGTCATTTCAGGGGACCTTTGGCTCTCGGGCTGAGCTTTACCTATCTTCTGGATCTGCCTTCTCTCCCAGGCCAACTTGCCTGCTCTTGCCCACCCTGCCACTATTCAGCACAGATTAGGAGAGTAAGGGGCCATTCAAAGGTAGGGAAACTGCAGGAGAGAGAGACTGATGATTCACCTAAGTTCAAACAGACATCATGGCACTGATGGGAAATTGATACTCAGAAAGGAGTACAGCTCACCTGTCTAAAAGAGAAAAAGGCTACCGTGTTTCCCCGAAAATAAGACAGGGTCTTATATTTATTTTTCCTCAAGACGACACCCTAAGGCTTATTTTCAGGGGATGTGTTATTTTCCCCTCAAGGCCTCAGCTTGCAGCATGCACAGGATGGCCGGGACGTGACAAGGGGAGCTGACCTTGTTGGTGAGGCTGCCCAAACTTCTCCAGTCATCTCTGGCATAGTAGCTGTCACGATGGGGCAGATGAGAAGGGCTGCTCGTCTTCTTTACCTCTCAGCCATGAAATGCATGGGTTGTGCAGATACGCTGTGTGGCCACGCCCAGCACTAGGTCTTATTTTTGGGGTAGGGCTTATATTGTGCAAATGCTTAGAAATCCTGCTAGGGCTTATTTTATGGGTAGGTCTTATTTTCGGAGAAACATGGTAGGATCCAGTGGATGCCAAGCCAAAGTTCTCCTCTCCTTGTTCCATCCCCTTCGCAAGAGATCCATTGAGGAAATGATGTCTTACTTTCAAACCAGGCTATTTGTTTATTCTTCTTCTTCCTAGAAATTCTTCAATCAGCAAAAGTGTCTGACTTGGCACTGGGCAGTAACATATTATTTGGTTGACAGCCAACCTATCTTAAACCATAATCGCTCTTTCAACACTCTGTTCCTTTGAGCCTGACAGACCCGTGAGGATTGTTCTGAACACCAAGTGCGGCTGAGTTGCAGGTACTGTTTTGCCTTCCCATTCACGTCAGAGCCCCCTGGAGCCTCACCCTTTTTGCACACTCTCCCATGCAAGACGTGAATGCCTTGGAACTTCTCACAGTCCTATGCACTCCAGCTTCTGTTTACTGGGCACATGGGCCAGTGCCCTTCTCTTGAAAACAGGAAAAGCGTATTGCTGTGAATGAGAAGTCAGTGGGACTTTGGAAAGAAGCTAATGGTGTGTGTAGAAGCTGTTGCACAGGAGGGGCACGGGGCCAAGACCCAAGGCAGAGTGGCCAGATTTCAGAAAGTCACTTTGGTTCAGGAAGTGGGGCTTTGTGGGAGGCAGGGAGGGTGAGCTTATGGGTATCGAGAGATGCCACCCCTGTCTGATTTCATGGTGGTGATTACTGAGTGATTTCTGGATTAGCCTTTCACACTTGAGGGTTCATTGAGCACTGGTCACTTCCTCCTCCTCCTTGTTTTCTTTGCTTTTGAAAACCTTCCCCCCACCTCCTCTTTTCCCTCACTCAGAGGAAGATTTATATGAAGACATTTTTTAGGTCCACAAAGGACAAAAGCTTTCCAGAAAACACACAGCACAGTCAGGTAAGTGGTGTTAGAACAGCATGTGAGGCTCCTACTCACCCTGGGCTGAACCTAGTAAGTCCTCAAGACAGGGGACTCGGTGCCAGACCAGAACTGGGTGGCCCATGGGATAGTCACATGGCATGCAAAATTTTTTAGAGGGCAGGAAAATCTTAATAATCAAGACAAATCATATTTTCTAACAATGTTTTAAAAAATCAAATTGGCAGACTGTGGCCCATAGGCCGGCTGCTTGTTTCTGTAAATAAAGTTTTGGTGAGGAAATTGGGTCGTGCCTGTGGGCCAAAGAAGAAGACAAATTCTGTTCTAGAGAGTGCTCAGCTTCCAATTTAATCCACAAATAATCCAGAACAAATTTAATTCCTTTCGGGATCCTTGGAAAACTGAAAGAAGACCACCCTTCTGTGGCCACTTTGGGTCACAACAGAAGTCTCTAGCCAGGTAGGATTTGACTGCCTGAGTTCACACAATTTGGTGTGGTAGACAGGAACTTGTAGATATGAAGCAGGCTCTGTGCCTCACTTCATGAAATTGTCTTCAATATTTATCTTCCATTGCCCTCACCCCCCACTCCTAGTTTTTAATACTCTTGAACAACTTAAATAATAGCAAAACTATGTGTTCTTCAACGATTTAGTAGAACTCACTCATAAAACCAATGGGTCCAAGAACTTTTTTTCCCTCACTCTTTTGTTTCTTGTAATTTTTTATTGAATGCCAAGTACAGTGTGTAGGATAGCAGAAGATACTGAGATAAAGAGTATGTATGCCACACCCAGAAATGGGCACAACTTTTCTAGTGCTCACCTACCAATCAGTATAGGAGTTTGAGGGAATCTAATCCAGATTTGAGCTGA